CTATGTGTATGTTGATTCAGAATGTAAGACTGAGGAATTGGGAGAGTCATTGCAAAATCTGATATGCGCAAGGGACGAATATATCAATCACGATGTTTCGATACGAATTGTTAGTGACATATTTTATCAATAACCGGATTCACGCAATTTCTGAACTAAATTTCTAAAACCTTCAACGAAGACATTATAAGTAAAAGATAAGAAATAACATACATGATATTTCTCTAATTACAAACTTGTTAATCAAGGAAAAAAAGTAAAAAAAAAAGGCTGTGTTTATCTCCTTATTTTAATCTTTGTTTTGTTGGAAAAGTCGAGTCATATAACAGGGTTGGCGTACTTTAAGACAGAGATACTATCAGTGTATTTTTGTACAGAAACACTGAAACATACACACACACACACTGTGCATACATAACTAGCCAAACCTCTCTCGTTCTACCACTGCAACACCCGCATAAGTGCACCCTCTTCGCAAGCTCAAACAAATAAATGTCCTTTCTTCGACTCATAAAAGTAGAGAAATCAGAACAGGGGAAATAATTCCCTGATTGCCAACACTAATACATCCCTGATTACCGAATATCCCTGTGGGGCAAGCAGACCTGCACGCTATTCCCGTCGGGTCATCATTCACTCTTTTCTTAAATAGTGTAGAACAACACTCATAGTTTCTTTCTTTTATGTAATCTTTACATGTATATTCATATGAATGTATATACATATGTAAACGTACATATACAAACATATATATGTTTGAGTGAATGTATAAATGTTAAACACAAATATACATGTATGCATGTGTGTACACATGTATGTGCATATATATACATATTTACATAGATATACTTATATGTACATGTAATGCCATTTAATGTTAAAAGGTAGTAGAATATATATATGTATATATGTGTGTGTAATGAAATTCAATGTTAAAAAGTAGTTTAAAGTGTTTCTCCATTCCTAATCATTACTCGCAATCCTCAGCTGATTTCAAGGAAAGTGCAAGGAAAGTTATTCCAAAAACAACCGGCATATAATTGCACCTTTCATTATTTACGGATCATACATCACAAAACAATACTTTGCAACATGCTTTTTCTTGTAGATCTTGTTTTCTTTGTGCATAAAATTTTCCGTAATGCCCAAGCGGATGATTAAAACTGAGTCACTACATTACCCTTGAGGATGAAGAAAGTTCGGGAAAATGAAGCCATTAGATTCACGTTCACTGATCATGGCAGCAAGTTATTCACAATGTCTTGGTCTTGGTGGCATCTCATCATAAGACAATCGAGTTTGGTGTTTCTTTAAATGTGTTTTACTGAGTTGTGGAAATTCTGTTAAATCTGTATCAGTTTTGGTTTTATTTCTTTCCTGTCGTTCACCTACGTCTTATGTTCCAATTATTTTCCATCTGAACTGTGAATACAAGCCAAAGATAAACACTGAAAAAGACACGTGTATCTGCTGTATCTATCGTTAATTTTTACAGTGATTGACAATATTAATTCAAATCATAATAAGCTACGCTCCCAACACTAGAAAAAGACTGATACATATATCATATTCTACTGTTGAGTAATAAGACTTTGCTTTTACTTCATATATAACAGAGAGTTCATCATTAAGCGCCTTGTTCTGTTTTATTTCTATCTTTATTTTTTGTTATTATCTTTTTATTTATTTATCTATCTATCTTGAGCACCATTCATGTAATTAGGGAAAATACCTTATTTCTATCTTTGCGAGTTGGTTTCTCGATTTTGATTTTGATTTTAAGCTACTAGTCTAACAAGGAGTCAATTATTCTGAACAATGGTTATATCTACAAGAATTAGAGGTATCTGAACAATTACATCATACATTTTTTACCAGGCTCTACCATGTCAAGTTTAACATGTACACCCAAAGTTTTTCCTTATAATATCTACATAGCACAAGAGACACCTGAAGCTACTCAGACTACATTTCCATTAGAAATACATGCATCAGTGAGATTACGAATCATATTTACAGATATATCAGACATAAGCAAAAGAACCTCTTCAGACAAAAATAAGGAACACTACTATTACTACTGCTTCTTCTTCTACTGCTACTACTACTACTACTACTACTACTACTACTACTACTACTACTACTACTACTACTACTACTACTACCACTACTACCACTACTACTAAAACTACTACTACTACTGCTTCTACTACTACTACTATTAATGATAATAATAATAATAATAATAATAATAACAGCAGTAACCACAAATGGAATCAGGAAGCTCAGACCTCCGTCATCAGCTTTTATCTTCCCTCGTCACTCTACTCCGGAAAAAAAAAAATCTCCCTTATAAGACCAGGAGGTTAAATATCCTTAATGTCTCTCTTTTGACATTTTCAAGAGATCGATCAACCCCAAGAACTAAGCATCTACCCGGATCATTGCGAAAATTATAGATTATTTGGTGCTCGTGTCATGGTCTATCCACATATATTTT